CATGTATTTTGGGGTGTTGTAAAACTGTACATTTTTCTGTGCCTGGAGATAATTGAGTTTAGTACAGTTCCTGACTCAGTTATCTCACAGGCACAGAGGAGGAGTTTACTGATTGTATAAATGTGATGCCAGTGTTTCCATTAAAGGACCACTATAGGCACCCAGACCACTTCAGCTCAATGAAGTGGTCTGGGTGCCAGGTCCATCTAGGGTTAACCCTGCAGCTGTAAACATAGCAGTTTCATAGAAACTGCTATGTTTACATTAGGGTTAATCCAGCCTATAGTGCCTGTCTCATTGACAGCCGCTAGAGGCGCTTCCGCGCTTCTCATTGTGATTTTCACAGTGAGAAGACGCCAACGTCAATAGGAAAGCATTGAGTAATGCTTTCCTATGGACTAACTGAATGCACGCGGCTCTTGCCGCGCATGCGCATTCAGCGTTTGACGTCGGAAGAGGGAGGAGAGTCCCCAGCGCAGAGGGAGCCCAGCGCTGAAGAAAAGTAAGCTTTTAAGCCCTCTTGAGCCCGGCGGGAGGGTGACATTGATGGTGGGGGGACCTATCAACACTATAGTGCCAGGAAAACTAGTTTGTTTTCCTGGCACTTAGTGGTCCTTTAAATAGTCTTCTCCCAGGGGGGTTATGGAATATCGGCGCTATTTTATCTTGTGGATTATTGTTGGTCTTTATATTGGGGGGAAAAAAGGGTATTCGTGGTGGTGATACCTTGGCATACCGCCACAGAGCCTTTTATCAATATTTCCTATTAAGAACAAATATCTTCAGGGGGCGGGGCCTGGCCACAGAGCTGTATGGACACACACCTCAGCAGCTCCTGCTAAACCTGGCACTTAACATTAAAATTAAACGCTATACTGGCACCTAATCGTGAATCTCATGCTACCACTCGAGAGTGGACATCAAGATGAAAAGTGCCGAACCGAGCACAGCATACAATGAGGCCTACGAGCGAGGCAGGCGCAGGGGAAAATGGCCGCACCCCAGCAACAAAGTCATGCCGGACATCTGAAGGTGAGCCCTCGTTCCCCCCCCTCTGGACCGGCGGGGGCTATCCCAGTCTACCCCCACCCGACTCCCTGGCAAAGTGACGGACCAACACCGGCTCAGTGGAGCCCAAAAGCTACCGTCACTGCGACCTCCAAGATGGCGGAAGCCTCCCAAACAGCAGACACATCTAACGCATGGTGGGAAACAGAGGTGCGGCTGAACAGTATCTTCGCTGCATTCTGGGAATCCGCATGAGATTCTCAGAGCCTGAACAGACACTACAGACTTCGCCACAGGATACCCCACAGTAGGGCCAGACGGGGACAACCAGCAGTGCTACCCCAACAACAGACGCACCAGAAAGGTGACATCAACCTGAGCCGGCGGGGCAGAAGCAAGACACAAAGCCCAAGCAA